CCCCAGTGGTGATTAAATACCACCAAAAGAAAGCTCTATCTGTCCCCCAAAAATGGTATAAAATTCATTTCAGTACAGCGTTGCATGACGGAGTAAATGTCAGTCAAAGTATCGCAGCGCTGAATACTGAAAAATGGCCTGGCCAGGAAGGGGGTCTAAACACCTGGTCTTCAAGCGGTTAAGTAATAAAGAACGCAAATGTTCATTTTTTTCTTGTGGCAAACCACCTTTTCATCTGTATCAATTTTGAGCCCGAAGGATGATAAAATCAGGGAAGGGCCCTCTGTCTTGTCCTCAGCTAGGGGCACCGAAAAGACCAGACGTAATGTACATCTTTAAAAACTGTCAGTAAAGGTTGACAAAGGTGGTGGTGATCTTGTGGACCAACAAAAAGGAAGTCGTCCAGGTGATGCAAAATTGACACAGAATATGATCTCTGCACGACAATCCACTTAAAGCAAATGAACATTTTCATATGTCCACATAATAATCACCTTTGAAATGACAGCCCAACAAGCGAAAGCACTTGGGGGTGGACATGGAGGAAGCGAAAAGGCCAACTCAATGTCTTTAGCATGGGATCCTGCATTCCTGATGAAAGACGAGCCCTTGTCAAAGGAGACATACTGAACTCTAGATTCCTCCTTGTCTAGTCCATCATTCACGGAGGTGCCTAAAGGATGGGATAATGGTGTATTAACTAGTATTTTCCACCTACTTTTTTAGGTATGACCCCAAGGGTAGATACCCCCTAATATTATGATAGGGCAGGTTAGAAAATGGGCCGGCAATGCGGCCCCAATTAACCTCTCTGAATAGTTTATTGGCCACTATTGACGCTTTCTACGGTCACCAGCATCCTCCGACTTAGGAAGCTTTCTTGTTTCAACTCTTGTTGTCACAGATTGTTTTCCCTTCTTAAAGCAGCGGATGGCTGTAGTTCCCCAGTACAGATGGAGCATTCATGTTTGAAATGACATGGTTTCCCACCTGTAGTGGTTTACGTTGAATAACCAACACACTCTGCGAAGCCAACACTGAATTGAAAGGGAGAAGGACTTTGTAGGCACATAAGCAAAAGCCAAAGCAAAGATCATTTGTAATGGACATTTTCTGTCTGTATTGCAAATCGCAATTTGACCCCCACAAACCTTATCAGCCCCCCAGATTAGATCCAGATAAAAGAACAAGGGGGAGCTAAATTCTAGGACTCTAGGCCCAGTGAGAAATTCCTCCATCCACACAGTTTAGCGTAGATGGAGGAATCTGTTGCACTTTTACATCTGATAGAAAATCTGCAGATAATCTATAGGTGTATGGCCATCTTCAGGCCCCATTCACACTGAGCGATTTATGGAGCGATTTTTGCAGCGATATCGCTCATATTTCCGCGCTATATCGCTCTATGTAGCTTCACCAATACATTTCAATGTAGCTGTTCACATCTCGTCGCTCAATATCGCTTGTAGCTCGTCGCTGGTAGCTTGTCGCTCCTACATGACCCTTTTTTAGAGCGATTTTGCTCCTGATTGCATACAGCCCAATAGGAAGAAGTCGCTCAAAGTCACGCGATTTCCATGTCGCTCAGTGTGAATGGGGTCTAAGAGTTAGCCTGCAATTACACCTAGGCGTTATAGTTTTTGCATATGATGGCGTTTAGCGCAATTTTACACGCGTGTTAGATGCAATCACGTGAAGACGCGCATCTTAGCTGGCAGATTGTCAAAGGACAAACTGCGTTAAAACGCGCAATTTGCAAATGGCCCGTGCCGCGTATTTCCAGGCATTTCCACTGAAGTCTATGGGGCCAAATGAGCTGTAAACTGCCTGTAAGGAGCGCATGTACTTTTTCTAGCGACAGGTGGTTTTTTAAACTTGCAACAAAATGCTCAAGTGTGAACAGGGGCGATTGAAATGAATGGGATGTTTTGTGTTGAGAGTTTTGTCCCCCAATAAAATGCCTAAGTGAATCCCCCATTCAATAGGATAATAGGACAGCTGTATGTACTGTGTCTGGCAGTGGGGGCTGCAGTTACTGTGCAGGAGGCCGGCACTGAAGGGGTTACAGGTGCTGAGCCAGGAGGTGATGCACAGGTCACTTCTGGTTGCCCTACAGAGATCTGTCTCTGAAAAGAGCTGACAGCCCGGGGAGGAATTGATTGCTGGGGTACTGACCTCCCCCTCCTTGGACTCCTCCAGCAGTGTGCTCCGGGTGGAGATCAGTAGCTGAACTCTGTGGAGCATCCAACTACTTTTTGCTAGCAGGCGTTGCTGGAGCTATTGAGCTTGCAGAGCCCACATGTGTTGCAGGCAATCTCCTCCTGCTGGCACCAGTAGTTCTTCTGTTAGGGCCGGGGATCGGACGAGAAGGCTGTTTACCTTTCTGACATAGAGTACTGAGCTCCACTTCCTGGAAAGGCAGGTTGTTCTGGGAATAGCCCGATTTTCTGCTGATATCACACTAGCTTCCCTATCCGTAACCTCACTTTGTGATCTAGTTTCAAGCAGTCCTGGGAATTCCCCTTGCTGTCTATTGCGTGCATGCAGCGATATCGCTCATATTTCCGCGCTATATCGCTCTATGTAGCTTCACCAATACATTTCAATGTAGCTGTTCACATCTCGTCGCTCAATATCGCTTGTAGCTCGTCGCTGGTAGCTTGTCGCTCCTACATGACCCTTTTTTAGAGCGATTTTGCTCCTGATTGCATACAGCCCAATAGGAAGAAGTCGCTCAAAGTCACGCGATTTCCATGTCGCTCAGTGTGAATGGGGTCTAAGAGTTAGCCTGCAATTACACCTAGGCGTTATAGTTTTTGCATATGATGGCGTTTAGCGCAATTTTACACGCGTGTTAGATGCAATCACGTGAAGACGCGCATCTTAGCTGGCAGATTGTCAAAGGACAAACTGCGTTAAAACGCGCAATTTGCAAATGGCCCGTGCCGCGTATTTCCAGGCATTTCCACTGAAGTCTATGGGGCCAAATGAGCTGTAAACTGCCTGTAAGGAGCGCATGTACTTTTTCTAGCGACAGGTGGTTTTTTAAACTTGCAACAAAATGCTCAAGTGTGAACAGGGGCGATTGAAATGAATGGGATGTTTTGTGTTGAGAGTTTTGTCCCCCAATAAAATGCCTAAGTGAATCCCCCATTCAATAGGATAATAGGACAGCTGTATGTACTGTGTCTGGCAGTGGGGGCTGCAGTTACTGTGCAGGAGGCCGGCACTGAAGGGGTTACAGGTGCTGAGCCAGGAGGTGATGCACAGGTCACTTCTGGTTGCCCTACAGAGATCTGTCTCTGAAAAGAGCTGACAGCCCGGGGAGGAATTGATTGCTGGGGTACTGACCTCCCCCTCCTTGGACTCCTCCAGCAGTGTGCTCCGGGTGGAGATCAGTAGCTGAACTCTGTGGAGCATCCAACTACTTTTTGCTAGCAGGCGTTGCTGGAGCTATTGAGCTTGCAGAGCCCACATGTGTTGCAGGCAATCTCCTCCTGCTGGCACCAGTAGTTCTTCTGTTAGGGCCGGGGATCGGACGAGAAGGCTGTTTACCTTTCTGACATAGAGTACTGAGCTCCACTTCCTGGAAAGGCAGGTTGTTCTGGGAATAGCCCGATTTTCTGCTGATATCACACTAGCTTCCCTATCCGTAACCTCACTTTGTGATCTAGTTTCAAGCAGTCCTGGGAATTCCCCTTGCTGTCTATTGCGTGCTGCTGCCTCGGAATTCATCATCTAGCAGCTGAGTGGTTTCACTTTGGAAACTTATCTGAATCACTTTATTTGCTCTTCTCCTGCACCATGGTGGATTATCAGTTCTAGACACTTGTTGTTGCAGACTCTCCGCTCCCTATTCTCTGTATATAAATCAATGCTACATGGCAGGGTGTGTCCTTAACAAGGGGCACCTGGCCACAGTCTGGAGCTTGCACATGCGCACTTCCCTTGTTTTGTACAAGGCGACTTGAAAGTTTCTGACTCCTGGGAGCTGGCTGTGCAGGCACGGACCACGCCCACCTTATACAGACCACGGCTGTTGATGGCTGCCATTGGCTCTTAAACTTGTGTTGTTTTCTTCAGTCACGCCCTGTGAACAACTTTCAGTATAAAAGCAAAGTAGCAGGAGACAGCTTGTAGTTTCATATACATAGCTGATTTGTAGTATTGTGTTGGATACATCAGTTGGTGGTTACGTTAACTCGCACGGGAATCCATAATACGGTTTGTCGGAGGCTAAGATGATCTTTGACAAGGTGAAGAAATTCCTGGTGGCTCTGGACTCTTCTGTGGAGGATGATGGTCCCCCGGTGTTCAGCAGTGGGCACACGGTGTCCGGGAAGGTACTCTTGGAGCTGGTGGCAGACACTAAGGTGGAGTCTGTGAAGCTGCACGCTGGGGGTTATGCCAAGGTGCACTGGACCGAGTCCCGCAGCGCAGGCTCCAGCACGGCGTACACTCAGAACTATAGCGATGAGGTGGAATACATCAACCTGCGGGAGACCCTACTGCACACAGGTGAGCCCCGCACACTGCCACAGGTTGCTATGGCAACCCCATCTGGCTTTCCTATTTGGAAGAAAGCAAACCTGTTACTTGACGATGTACTATGAAGCTCAACACACGTTACAATGTGATTTGTACAATCTACCACCAACAACTATGTAGTGCTAGTCCCTACCTATTTGCATACAGACTGATTGGATGGATTAGGTCTATCCTAATATTTCATAGTTTTGGTAAATCTAAAGTTCATTGTACAGTTTGTATGGTCAGATTGCAGTGTGTGTGCGGTGACCATCAGTCAGTGTGTTTTTGTATTTTAATGCTTTTTTTTTTTTTTTTAAGCACCTTTTCATGTGTTTTTAAGGGCTTGGCTGTTTTGAAATACCCATCATCAACACAGGATCTTTCTAGGGAGATGTTTGCAGAAAGATCCTGCATACAAATCACATGAAGTGCTTGTATGTGTATACTACTGCCATTGCATTCCGTTTATATGCATAAATGCGTGCTGACCCCTAAACTTCAAATAGAAAAATCTGCAAGTTTACAAAAGGATTCCTTTTGTCCTGTAACAGCTGAAGCACTTTGAATCACATAGGTGTAAACAGGGAATAAGCTCACACCAGTATGATTTATCAAACTTCTACTGCCGTGTGCACGATAGAATCCCATTTTTCTTTGTTGTCCATTCTCACCTTTTGCCTAGGCACATATAATTTTTTTTTTGATAAGGTGCAGGCACATTTTTTTTACCCCCAAACAATTGAAACGCATGTAACGTGTTTTCATGCATTTTAGCACATGACAAGCTCACAATCCCCAGCAACCTATACTTTATTTCACCTTCATTGGCCAAAGCAAAAATACATAACGCATGTAATAACAGTGTTGAAAATCACATGAGAATGCAGATGCAGAAATTGCAGTGCTACACAGATGTGTAGTGACTGTCTGTTGAGAGATGTGGAACTGTCAGTTGAATGGCTTCTGATGAGTCTCACGGATAAAGATTTCAGATCTGCTAGATGATCACAGCTCCTGATGTAAACAAGTCACCCCGTGACTGGCAAAGTGCTGCCACTTGCGGAAAAGCGGCATGTGCACTTGGCTGGCATTCCCTGAATCCAACTGTCCCCAATTCAACTACACAGATGCCAACCTGTGTCCTATCCTGCTCCGGGGCTCAGATCATTTTTTTCTGTTCATTGTGTGGGAGCAAGACGCCTGCAACACATGTTTGTGTGTATGTACTGGGACACTATGTTCTTGTATTAAGCACATTTGTGTGTTTTAAGCATTCTTACATACTTTATATAATATGGGAGTATTCATGTTCCCCGACTAGGATGACATAAGAACTTTTTTTACAAGCAGAACGTATTGAAGTCCTTATGTAGGCAGTGACAGATTAAAGCCCTACTCTAGGCAAAATATGACTCCATGCCCCCCCGGGTGACATCTTTACAACCAGAATGTAAAAGTCACCATATAGGTAATGGCAGGTT